CAGCCTCTGAAAGTGCTGGGATTATAGGCGTGAGCCACCACGCCTGGCCATAGTTAAATTCTTGCAAGGACCGTCTTCCCTCACTTTCTCCATTCTCCCTCTCTCCATCTCCCTCACTTTCTTCCCCCGACCCCCAAGACAGAGTCTTGCTCTGTTGCCCAGGCTGGAGTGCAGTGGCGTGATCTCAGTTTACTACAACCTTCACCTCCCGGGTTCAAGCGATTCTCCTGCCTCAGCCTCCCGAATGGGTGGGATTACAGGCCTGCAGCACCACACCTGGCTAATTTTTGTATTTTCAGTAGAGATGGAGTTTCACCATGTTGGCCAGGCTGGTCTCGAACTCCTGACCTCATGATCCACCCGCCTCAGCCTCCCAAAGTGCTGGGATTATAGGCATGATCCACCATGCCCGGCCATGTCTCTCACTTTCTAGATCTTCCCCTCACCTCCCTTGAGCACTCGGCATCATGGACGCCGAGGGCCACTCCCAGTTCCTGAAACCACACAGGCTCTGCTGTGATCGTGCCACTCTTGGTTTTCTTTTTTCTCCACCGCTCCTGCCCTAGGGCCTTTGCGGGTTCTTCCAACTTCCGCAACAGTGGCATTCTGCCAGGGCTCAATTCTGGGCCCCTTTCTTCTCACTGCCTCAGCTAGCTCATCACACGCATGGCTTCCAACTCCACAGCCGTCCACATGCTGAGGGCCCCCGCATCTCCATTTCCAGTTCTCGCCTCTCCCTTGAGCTCCAGATCCGCATGTCCAATTGCGTCTTCCTTTGAATGTAGCAAGGCGGGTCCATTCCTGTGTTCCCTCGCTCTCTGATCAGCACCACAGTCGATCCAGGTGGGCATGACTGGAAGCTTGGGGAGCCCCCCAACCCCTTCCTCTCCCACCCGCATGGCCAGCCCATGCATGGTGTTGTCACTCTGGCCTCGCGCATATCCCTCATGTCCGTCCGCTTCTTTTCATCCTGGCCACATCCTACTAGCATCCCTTGAGTGGACACTGCCACGGCCTCCTCACCGCTCTGTTTTTCTGGTTCTTCTACTCCCATCCTTCTACACTGTAGCCAGAGAAATCTTTGTTGTTGTTGTTGTTGTTGTTGTTGTTGTTGTTTGAGACAGGTTCTTGCTCTGTTGCCCAGGTTGGAGTGCAATGGTGCCGTCTTGGCTCCCTCAGCCTCGACCTCCTGAGCTCAAGTGATCCTCCTGCCTCAGCCTCCTATGTAGCTGGGACCACAGGCCTGTACCACCATATCCAGCTAGTTTTTGTTTTTTGTAAGATGGGGTCTCAGTTTATTGCCCAGGCCGGTCTTGAATTCCTGGGCTCAAGAGATCCACCTGTCTTGGGCTCCCAAAGTGCTGGGATGACAAGCATGAGCCACCACATCTGGATTACAAGCGTGAGCCACCGCACCCGGATGACGAACATGAGCCACGGCGCCTGGCCTGGGTGATGTGTCTTTTCAGCACACATGCTGCAGCCGCTGTCTCCTCTCCAGCTTCATCTCTCACGACTCTCTCCTCACTCCCAGCATCATTTCAGTTCTTGGAAAGCACCAAGCTCCCTCCTCCCACAGGCCCTTGCACAAGCCAGGCTCCCTGCTCAGAGCTTTCTTCTCCCTCCTTCACTTGGTCTAGTGAGTTCTGTCTCAACTTCAGGTCACAGCTGGAACCTTCCTTGCTCTGGGAAGCCTAACTACTCTCAGAGAGCTACTCACCACAAGCCTTTCCTATAAAGTGCCCATCACTTCAAAATCATCCAAGCACCTGCATGGCGACTTGATTCATGTCTGTCTGCTGCAGCAGCATGTGAGAACCGTGAGAGCAGCAACAGTGATGGTTTGGCTCAGTGTCTAACTCAGAGCCTGGTTACAGAAGGCCTGGGACAAAGATTGAAGGATGGATGATAGACAGATGGACGTATCAAAAGGAAACGAGACTTTTGCCCATACTAGATTTAGTAACACAGAGCCCCAGAGCTACCACCTCCCTTTACCAAATTCTAGACCAGGGCTATTCATGTCAACCCCTGCTGTCGGTGGCTCATGCCTGTAATCCCAGCGCTTTGGGAGGCCAAGGCAGGCAGATCACAAGGTCAGGAGTTCGAGACCAGCCTGGCCAACATGGTGAAACCCCGTCTCTACTAAAAATACAAAAAATTAGCTAGGCGTGGTGATGGGCACCTGTAATCCCAGCTACTTGGGAGCCTGAGGCAGGAGAATCACTTGAACACCCCTTCCTCTCCCACCCGCATGGCCAGCCCATGCATGGTCTTGTCACTCTGGCCTCGCGCATATCCCTCATGTCCGTCCGCTTCTTTTCATCCTGGCCACATCCTACTAGCATCCCTTGAGTGGACACTTGAGTTAATCAAACCCAAAGAGAGGGTTGTGGGAACCCCAACTCGAAGCCGGTGGGACAGAAACTCCAGAGGCTTGGACTTGTGACTGGTGTCTGACTGAGGGACTGTCTTGTGGGCTTGCGTCAGCCTGTGGGATCTGATACTGCTTCCGAGTAGACAGTGTGAGAATTGAGTTAGAAGACACCCTCTCCTGCCTCAGCCTCTGGAGTAGCTGGGAATACAAGCACCCATCACTATGCCCGGCTAATTTTTATATTTTTAAGAGCCGGGGTTTCACCATATTGGCCAGGCTGGTCTTGAACTCGTGACTTTGTGATCTGCCTGCCTGGGCCTCCCAAAGTGCTGGGATTACAGGCGTGAGCCACCACACCCAGCCACAGCAAAACTATTCTATGTGACACTGTAATGGTGAATACATGTCATTATACATTTGTTAAAATCCATAGAATAGTACAACTCAGTGAGTCCTAATGTAATCTGTGGACTTTGGTTAATAATAATGTATCAAGATTGGCTCATAAATGGAAGCAAATGTATCCCAATGCAAGATGTTAATAATAAGAGAAATTGGGTGGCAGGAGGTGGCGGTTGAGGGGATATATGGGAACTGTTTGTCCTTCCTTCTTTCTTTTTATTTCTTTTCTTTTTTTTTCCACAGGGTCTCACTCTGTTGCCCAGGCTGGAGTGCAATGGCGTGATCTCAGCTCACTGCAACCTCCACCTCCTGGGTTCAAGCAATTCTGCTGCCTCAGCCTCCTGAGTAGCTGGGATTACAGGTACCTGCCACCACGCCTGGCTAATTTTTGTATTTTTAGTAGAGACGCGGTTTCACCATGTTGGCCAGGCTGGTCTCGAATTCCTGACCTCAGGTGATCCACCTGCCTCAGCCTCCTGAAGTGCTGGAATTACAGGCATGAGCCACCACTCCCAGCCCTGTCTGTATCTTCTGCTCAATTTTTCTAAAAACCTAAAACTGCTAAAACAATTTTTTAAATATAAAATATATTTTTTAAAAAAATCCTGACACCCAGACTACATCCTTGACCATTTGAAGCAGAATCTCTGAAGGTGGAACGTGGCCATGAGGACTTTTTAAAAACTCCCTCGGAGATTCTAGAACTGCCCCTTCGAACTGAATGGGGAGTTGGGAGTTGGGGTGGAGGGAGCAGGCCGACTGCAGTGGGGAGCCCTTTCTCAGCTTTGGGGTGTGTTTCGCAGGGAGGTAGATGGATATTGGCACAGATTGCCTTAAAGAAGAGGGAGCGCCTGAGGGCACAGAGAATCTCATTCCTGTGAATGCTCCAGTGTCTTAGGCACGGTCCCTCCTGGACTCTGGTGGGGACCGAGTGAGAAGTTTAGCAGGTGCCCTCCTGTGCTGCAATTCTGCATCGATCTGGTGACCATTTCGATGAACCCACTGAGGGATTTTTCCAGCTGCTGAATAGACCTTGGAGGGCGGGGTCAACCTTGACAAGCAGAGGCAGGGACTGAGAGGAGGCAGTGTCCCACAGGAATGGGTGGGCCTGAAGAGCAATGGGAGCAAGGCAAGAGGGTGGGACAGGAGTGAGGAGGGCATCCAGAGGGGCTGGCGGGGCCTTGAGCACCAGGCCGAGCACCGTGGGGACCATGGCAGGGTTCTGAGAGGGGCATGGTCAGGTGGGTGCTCAGAAAGATGACTCGGGCAGCCAGGGAGGGCATGGACCAGCGGGCCAAGGACCAAGGCTAGGAGACCAGTAAGGAGGCGAGAGATGGAGAGGGCTGCCTTTGAGGGGCTCCAGTAGCGGGGGAAGAAATGAGAACAAGATGGGCTTACTGGTCTTGGTGTCTGGGGAGCTTCTGCCTGGAAGCTTGGGGGACCCCTGACTCCTTCCTCTCCCACCCGCATGGCCAGCCCACGCATGGTCTTGTCACTCTGGCCTCCTGCATATCCCTCATGTCCGTCTGCTTCTTTCCATCCTGGCCACATCCTACTAGCATCCCTTGAGTGGACACTTGAGTTAATCAAACCCAAAGAGAGGGTTGTGGGAACCCCAACTCGAAGCCGGTGGGACAGAAACTCCAGAGGCTTGGACTTGTGACTGGTGTCTGACTGAGGGACTGTCTTGTGGGCTTGCGTCAGCCTGTGGGATCTGATACTGCTTCCGAGTAGACAGTGTGAGAATTGAGTTAGAAGACACCTGGCTGGTGTCTGCCGCAGAAGGGATATGTGGGAGGGGGGCACCCACACAGTTGGTCTCAGAAGTCTTCTGTGTCCACTGCTGTGCTGTGAGGGCAGAAGAAAAAGTTTGCATTTTTTGCATTCAAACCCCATGGGAGGTGGGCGTGGTGGCTCACGCCTGTAATCCCAGCACTTTGGGAGGCCGAGGCGGGAGGATCACCTGAGGTCGGGAGTTCAAGACCAGCATGGCCAACATGGTGAAACCCCGTCTCTACTAAAAATAAAAAAAATTAGCCGGGGCGTGATGGCGGGTGCCTGTAGTCCCAGCTACTCGGGAGGCTGAGGCAGGAGCATTGCTTGAACCCCAGGAGGCGGAGGTTGCAGTGAGCCGAGATCGCGCCATTGTACTCCAGCCTGGGCAACAGAGCAAGTCTCAAAAAAACCCAAACAAACAAAATACCCCACGGGAGTATTCCCATTATACCAATAAGGGAACTGAGGCTCCTCCAATGACTTGCCAAAGGTCACACACTGTTTAAGTAGCAAAGCTTGGATTCAAGCTCAGGGCTGTGTGACCTCAATGATGACTCTTTTCGTCACTGCCCTGGAGGGCCGTACCATGGGAACAGAGGTGCGGGGTCCTAAAAGTCTATACCAGTGTCCAAGGCTAAGTGGGGATGGGAGGTCACTGGGCTGGTGTCACAGGCACTCCCGTGACACCATAGGGACCTCTGCCCCAAGAGAAGCAGATATGGCTCCTACCTGGACCAGACCTTGGCTTCCTGAGCCCCTGTGAAACAAGCAGTTCTTCCCAAGGAGTGGCTACGGACCCACCCAGGAGCCTCAGCTGTACCCTGGATTGCAGCCCTGTCACCTCCTGAGCCAGCCCTTCCCTCTCCCTCCCTCCCCCGAGAGCACCTCTCACCATTGTCCTGCTCAGGGACTCAGGGTGCCTCAGGCGCTTCCAGAAAATTCTACAAAGCCAGCTGTTCTAGCTGCTGAGAAAGAAAGAACATGTATCCAGATGCAGAAAATGTACACGCAAGCCTTTTTTTTTTTTTTTTTTAACTCAAGAAAGGGCTTTTATTGTTTGTAACTCACTTCCTGGGAAGTTAATTTTTAAAACACTCTTATAGAGTTTGCTCATCGCTTGTGCTACATTCAAAAACGACGACGCCAACCAAAACCCTCAGTGACGGGGTGAGCATCCCAACTGGGTCCACCCCAGAGCTTTCCAAGGGTGGGTCTGATCGACGTGGTCCCCCCAGACCAGACGCTCAGAGATGCTCAAGACACACTTGGGGATCAGTGATTGGCTCTTCACTTGCCTTCCACTAACTCTATAAAAGTGTTCTTAAAAACAGTACGGAATAACTTCTTAAGCCCTGGGCCACACTCTGCCTTAGCACAGAGGAGCCGGGGAGAAACGTGGACCCATTGACAACGGGGCACATTCGGCTCCTATAGCCTTAAATAGACGTAGAAACTGTATTACAGATGCGTGTACCAGTGCAGGACATACGAGTGAGCTGTGTGCAGCAGATGGGCACGCGCACGCGTGTGCGCATGGAGGCGCGACATGCACCCACAGGCGTGGAGATGCAGCGGGATCCGGGTTTCTCCCCCAGCCAGCCTCCCTTCTCCAAACAAGCCCTCCTCCAACAGGAAACCCACATCTGTGGCCAAAATCCCTCGTCCATCCATGTTTCCAGGGCAGCGTCTGAGTCCTGTGTGATTTTCCTATAGGGGTCAACCTCTATGAGCATTTGGTCAGCCAACGCCAGGCCGGCCAGCCGGACACTGATCCCAGAGAGAAGGCGAAGGCCGCTTCGGAAGAGTTGTGTCTGAACGCGCTCCAGCACCCCCGCTCTGAGCAGGCTGACTGCTGATGTCCTCAGGGTGAGGCAGCTGCCGCAGAGGCCACCTGCCGGTGTGCACAGCCCTCCAGGTTCTGTGTCTCGTGATCCCTCCAACCTGGACAGTTTGTCCTTCATTGTAGGAATGTGAGTGCAGCTCTTGGGGCCAGATGGGTACGCCAGTGTAGGATGAGAGGCTGGGTTCCAGTTATTTCAGCATGTGCAGGGCCACAGGCCTGGCGCGTCCGTGGCCCTCGGTCAAAGTCAGCCCTGGTGTCTTCTCCAGCCTCAGCTCTGGGGAGCCATCAAAGCAGGGAGTGAGATGGGCAGGGACGATGTGGTGCTTCCGCTTCAGGCTTTTGCTCAGAGCTTGATTCCGTTCAGCCCACTTTCCAGATAACGCTGAATGCGAAACACAGTCCAGGAAAGTCAGCTCCGTCCGCTCGGCTGCCAAATAATGGTGGGGTGTGCTGGGAACCACCGAAGCTGTAGGAAAGCTCGTGAGATGTTCCCAAGCAGGGCCTCTCCCCTGAACCCCCAGGTTAAAAACAAAAGTAAAAGACAACAAAAAAGGAATCAGAATTCTCCAACACTGGCCCTCTCCCCAGTGAGGGGTCCGAGCCCGCACACCAGCATTTGAGTAGACAAGAGCTCTGGTGCCACCACCCCAAGGTGGGCAGGGTACCCCCCTCTCCACCATATGCCTGTGGCAGCTGAGCCAGGCCTGCCCGGCCCCAGCGCGAGGTCTCTTCAGTTGCAGTAAGCCAGGCCTCCACCTGCCATCTTGGTCTCCTGCCTCTGCTCCTGCCCTGGGCCATGCCAACCAGCCGGGTGGCGTTTCTGAGGCTCCATGGGCACCTGGTTTCCCCACAGAATGGGTCAGGCCAAGAAGGGCCAGGAAGAGGAGGATGGCCTCGTGGGAGCCCTGCCCCCAAGACCCCAAATGACATACATTCCAGTCCTGTCCCTGGACGTGCGTGCGTGGAGGTCATGCAGCACGATGGGGGAGGGGCGGGAGCGGGGCTGCAGTCCCCAGCCCCCTGCCCGCGGGGGCGGCTGTTGCATGAGGGCGGTGGGCCTCTGGAGGCGCGGGATGAGTATGCTGCCGGGTGGCCCTGGGTGCATGCAGGGGCTCAGGATGCAGCCTCGTCTTCCTGGACGCCGGGGAGCTCTGGGCTCTTGCCCCCTTCGCCACACCCTTCTTTCCTGTTCAGGGGACACCAGGGACAGAAGGACCTCAGGGTCAGAATATACCCTCAGGGGGATACTCTCCCTCACACACACAGGAATTTGAATCCCAGAATCTCTCAAAGCCCCCTTCACCCACTGCCCCAAGCTTGGCCTCCCTCTGGCCTCTCTACATCACAGCAATTGCTCCTTGGCGGTCTCCCAGCCCCCAGCCTCAGCCCACAATGCCTCCGTGGCCCCCCATTGACCAGAGATGAGGTCTAAACCTCCTAGCACGGCCTCTGGAGCCTCTCACAGTCTGACCCAGCTGACTTCCCTACATCCTCTGACTATCAGCCTGGTCAAGGGCCTTCTCTCTGTGTGTGTAGTTTTGTTGTTGTTGTTTTGAGACAGGGTCTTGCTCTGTCGTGCAGGCTGGAGTGCAGCGGCGTGATCTCGGCTCACTGCAACCTCTGCCTCCCAGGCTCAAGCGATCTTCCCACCTCAGCCTCCTGAGTAGCTGAGACTACAGGCACATGCCACTACACCCAGCTAATTTTCCTTTTTTTTTTGAGACAGAGTCTCACTCTGCCACCCAGGCTGGAGTGCAGTGGCCGGATCTCAGCTCACTGCAAGCTCTACCTCTCCGGTTCACGCCATTCTCCTGCCTCAGCCTCCCGAGTAGCTGGGACTACAGGCGCCCGCCACCACGCCCAGCTAGTTTTTTGTATATTTTTAGTAGAGACGGGGTTTCACCGTGTTAGCCAGGATGGTCTCGATCTCCTGACCTCGTGATCCGCCCGTCTCGGCCTCCCAAAGTGCTGGGATTACAGGCTTGAGCCACCGCGCCCGGCCAGCCTAATTTTTTTATCTCTATAAAAACAGGGTTTCACCATGTTGCCCAGGCTGGTCTCAAACTCCTGGGCTCAAGTGATCCATCCACCTCAGCCTCCTAAAGTGTTGGGGTTACAGGCGTGAGCCACGGTGCCCGACCTGAGGGCCTCCTGTGTGGACTTCAGTCAGCCCCCAGCAGATCTGGGCAGAGGGGCTTTCATTTTGCTTTTTTCTTTGCCTTGTTCACAGGGCAGAGTCCATCTATCAGTCTTAGGATTCCGTTACATATTCAACAGATTTATGTGTCTAATTTTCCTCCCAAAATGAGTAAATGGGTTTTGATATCTTTAAAAAGGACCAACCCCACTGAACTCTACTACAGAGTTTCTACAATTATCCCAAAGTATACAAAACAGTTTATGGCCGGGCACAGTGGCTCACACCTATAATCCCAGCACTTTGGGAGGCTGAGGTGGGCAGATTACCTGAGGTCAGGAGTTCAAGACCAGCCTGGCCAACATGGTGAAATCCCGTCTCTAATAAAAATAGAAAAATTAGCCGGTGTGGTGGTGTGTGCACCTGTAATCTCAGCTATTTGGGAGGCTGAGGCAGGAGAATTGCTTGAATGCAGTAGGCAGGGGTTTCAGTGAGCCGAGATTGCGCCATTGCCCTCCAGCCTGGGCAACAAGAGCGAAACTCCGTCTGAAAATAAACAAACAAACAAAAACACCAGTCTGTCAAGGATAAATATTGGGACTTGATAATGAGATAAAATCTACTTTCAAAGTTAGACCTAGAGACAGGGTATGGTGGCTCATGCATGTAATCCCAGCACTTTGGGAGGCCGAGGTGGACAAATCGCTTGAAGCCAGGAGTTCAAGTCCAGCCTGGGCAACATGGCAAGACTCCATCTCTACTGAAAAAAAAAAAGCTCTACCGCCAAACTAAACTTGGGTCACAGAATTCTATAATTTTATAGCTGGAAAGTATTAAGCCCAATCTTGTCACTCTGTTTGCCAGGTACAACCTAGGTACTGTCTTTATCCTGTGTCTGGCTTATCCCACCACTAGAGGGTGCTGGACCATAGGCTCTGAGTCAGAGGGACCAGGTGTCCAGGTTTGCTGGACACAGTCCTGATTCCACCTGTTGTCCTGGCATAATTATTATAAATATATATATACATATTTTAGACAGGGTCTGGCTCTGTCACCCGGGCTGGAGTACGGTGGTGCAATCTTGGCTCACTGCAACCTCCACCTCCCAGACTCAAGCAATCCTCCCACCTCAGCCTCCTGAGTATCTAGGACTACAGGCGTCCACCATCACGTCCAGCTAATTTTTAATTTTTTTTTTGTAGAGATGGGGTCTTGCTACGTTGCCCAGGCTGGTCTTGAACTCCTGGGCTCAAGCAATCCTGCTTTGGTCTCCCAAAGTGCTGGGATTACAGGCATGAGCCACCGTGCTGGCATAATTAGGAATGGCTTCCCCTTTCACTCTCAAAAGTGCCCCCATTTGGATGTCAAATTATATACGTCCCCTCGCTACACACGCACTAAGCACAATTCCAGCGTCAGGGGCCTATATTCCTAGATGAATTCAGAGAATGCTCCCCCAACCGCAACTACCTCACTGAAGAGATGATAGAAAAACTGCAGTTGAGATCTCCAGGCCTCTTCCGGGCCCCACACCTCATTGTGTGACTCTCCCTGGATGTAAGCACCTCCAGCAGGGAGCAGATGTCAGCTCATCCACTACCAGGGGACCCGACTCTTCTGAAGGGCCCTCTTACGAGAGGGAGACCTCACAGGACACCAACATGGTGGTCCCGGACAGGCCTGGGGACAGCGCCTGGCGCTGGGAGTGCCAAGGGGAGTGCGCCTTCCACACAGAGCCCCGCCAGCCCCTTCCCTGAAGCTTCCCTCTGGGGCCAGAGGAAGGCAGTGGCTGTTCCAGGACCATGCTGTGGTTCAGGACCCTGACCGTTTTCTCTCTGCAGGTTTGTGTACAAACTCCAGCAGGCCTTATCAGCATCCCAGACTGGCTTTTATTACAGTGGAAGAAGGTGGAACTGCTGAGGACGAGGGGCACGGGTTTGAGGGGCGGCTTTTCTGGACCCTCCTAGGAAGTGGCGAATCCACAGGCATGGCTTACTGCGGGGAGCCCTCGGCAAATGCGGGTTCCTCTCCCGTGGTCCACTGGCCAGCCTGTCCCTGCTCACTCACTGGACAAGCACTCACAAAGCGCTGACTGGGCGCACAGCCCCAGCAATGGCTGCAGGCAGCCTGGGCCACTCGGGAGAGCAGCCAACAGTCCCCAGGGCCAGGCAGAGGGGCCAGCGCCCCTCCTCTACAGCCCGCCAGCCTCCTACAGGGAGCCGACATCAGCCCGTCTGCAAACCTCTGCCAGGCTGCCAAGGGCTGAGGAGGCCGCAGATTTGAAGCCCCAGAGGGGCTGGACCCAGTCGGAGAGTGACATCAAGCTTGATGGAAGAAGGGTCGTCCTGTCCCATGGAGGGGTTGTGTGAGCTCCTCATCCCTGGAAGCGTGTATGTGAGGGATGCTGGCCCCAGGAATGAAGCAAGGGCTGGGCCCAAAAGGTCCCTTCTCGCCCTGACTAACCTCGGGGACAGAGATGCAAACGGGGTCAACTCCAAGACCTGGCCAAGTCCCCAGGCTCTGGCCTCGGCCCAACGACAGTGAGAGTGGGAGGATGGGCCTCAGGCCTCCCCACCCGACTCCAGGGAGCACCCGGCAGGCCTCGGCCCACTAGTACTTACACCAGTAGGTTTCCTGGAGCAGACATGGATCGCTCTTCCCTCCGTGCTTGCGGCTCAAACGGGTTCCCAAAGGAGCGCTTCCTCAGCATGGACTTCACCAGGATCTGAGGAGGACATGGCGGTGTGAGGAGCACAGGCCCCAGGCTCCCAGACATGCCACCTCTGCTCCGATTCCCCGAGAGCAGCTGCCAAGGGGGCCGCGGCGTGGGTCTCATTTCAATCAGCACAGCATGGTATGGCGGGGACGAGAACATGCGGGCTGGCGGCAAAGTCCCGGAACGGTGAGGAGCTGGGTGCCGCTGGTGCGTGAGGAGGGGGGCCGGGACCGGTCCATGAAGGGGCCACAAGGCCAGGCTGAAAGAGTGGGGAGGGCCAGGGCTGGAAGTAGGAGTCCATTAGAAAATACCTTCTCACCACAGCAGCAACGCCATGGAGGATGCTGTGCCATCCTTCCCACCTTCCGGCCGCAGAGAGGATGCCAAGAAGATGCTACTGCACAGTGGCCCGGGAAGCGGCTGAGCCGCAGTCGGTGGCCGAGCCAGGGGGGCTGCCAGGAGGGGGGCAGCTGCTGCAGCCTGGCTCTCTGCCTTTGTCCCTCCTTCATGCCAAGGACGGTTCCATGCCCTGCCCACACACACACTGACTCACACACATGCAGAGAGCCAGCAGCACACTTGCCAGTCCCTTCACTCACTCGCCTGTCTCCATCCATCCTGTCAACACTGGTCACCATGGCTGCCTACCGTGTGCTGGACACTGCTCTAGGCACTGGGGCCACACTGAGGCCAAAATTCTTGCCCTCATGTAGCCCTATAGCCTTCTTATTTTTTTCAGATGGAATTTCGCTCTTGTTGCCCAGGGCTGGAGTGCAGTGGCACGATCTCGGCTCACGGCAACCTCTGCCTCCCGGGTTCAAATGATCCTTCTGCCTCAGCCTCCTGAATAGCTGGGATTACAGGCATCTGCCACCACACCCAGCTAATTTTTTGTATTTTTAGAAGAGACGGGGCTTCACCATGTTGGCCAGGCTGTTCTCAAACTCCTGACCTCAAGTGATCCTCCCGCCTTGGCCTCCCAAAGTGCTGGGATTACAGGTGTGAGCCACTGCACCTGGCCATCATATAGCTTATATTCTAGTTTCAGGAGAAGAAGTTTTATATTCTAGTTTCAGTAAAGAAGAAAAATCAGCAAAATATGTATGTCAGTAAGTGGAAAGGAAAAAATAAAACAAGGAGTGGCGATGAGGTGTGACTCAGGGAAGGCTTGCTTCTCTCTCGGAGGGGACTCTGGCTTAAAAAGCCGCAGGAAGTGAGGGAGCAGGTCCCGTGGCAGTCGGGGGTGGGGCTCTCCAGGCAGAAGGTAGCAAAATCTGAAGGCTCTGGGGCAGCCTCTTCCATGGCACGTGGCCAGAGTCGAGTGCATGATGGGGGGACGGTGCAGGAGCCCCGCAGAAAAACAGGGCAGGGGGAGGGCAGGCTGGGGGCCCGACTCTGAGGGACACGGCAGCCCCGTGAGAAGCGGGCTCTGAGCTGGGAGGTGACACATTCATGCCACCAGGACCATGCTGGGTGCTGAGTTGAGCACTGACTAGGGGGACGGGAAGTGAGAGCAGAAGCAAAGGACAGCGTGGGAGGTTCTTCCGCTGGTCTGGGAGAGAGGAGGTGGTGGCTAAGACCAGAGAAGTGGCCATGGGGACCCCGTGGGAGTTGCCTGGGTCCAGGGACCCCACACAGCCAAGTAAGCATAGGGGGCAGGGATTCAGCCAGCTGGTCCTAGCTGGGCCGGGACCCTGCAGCGGGGGATAAAGTGTAAGGGCAGGCCCTGCCAGGGGCAGTGGCCCCAGCTCTGGCTCCTGGCCTTGTGCTTGCCAACTCACTTGACTCTCAGGCAGGGGCAGGGCAGGGCTCTCAGTGGCCCCAAGTGGCCACCAGGTACTACGTGAACCACTTCCAAGTGCCCACACAGAAGCTGAGCGGAGGAAGAGGAGCAAAACCGAAACATGAGTGGGCTCTGGGGGAGACACAGGCACCATCGAACTGATACGTGGGCTTTGGGGCCACTTCTCCAATCCAACGGCTGCCCAGGCCATTCCCCTGCCGTGTCCTCGGCAGTGCCTGGAAAACGGAAGTTCAATAACCGTCTGGACGGAAGGAAATGCTTCTTCCAGTCGCAGTGACTGTTGTCGCTCAGCAAAGGCTGTCTATATCTTTCTTTCTTTCTTTCTTTTTGTTTGTTTATTTATTTATTTATTTATTATTATTATTTTTTTTTTTGAGACGGAGTCTCGCTCTGTCGCCCAGGCTGGAGTGCAGTGGTCGGATCTCCGCTCACTGCAAGCTCCACCTCCCGGGTTTACGCCATTCTCCTGCCTCAGCCTCCCGAGTAGCTGGGACTACAGGCGCCCGCCACCTCGCCCGGCTAGTTTTTTGTATTTTTTAGTAGAGACGGGGTTTCACCATGTTAGCCAGGATGGTCTCGATCTCCTGACCTCGTGATCCGCCCGTCTCGGCATCCCAAAGTGCTGGGATTACAGGCTTGAGCCACTGCGCCCGGCCATTTTTTTTGTTTTTTTGAGGCAGAGTCTCCCTCTGTCACCCAGGCTGGAGTGCAGTGGCACGATCTCAGCTCACTACAACCGCCTTCCAAGTTCAAGCAATTCTCCTGCCTCAGCCTCCTGAGTAGCTGGGACTACAGGCGCCCGCCACCACGCCTGGCTAATTTTTTTTTTGTATTTTTAGTAGAGATGGGGTTTCACCATGTTAGCAGGATGGTCTCGATCTCCTGACCTCAGGTGATCCACCCGACTTGGCCTCCCAAAGTGCTGGGATTACAGGTGTGAGCCACTGCGCCTGATATTTCTTTAAATCGGTTACTCTCCTCACCAAGCCTCCTGGTCTCCTGACCACAAGACCTCCTGATATGGGCTCTGGGGAAGACACAGGTGCCGTGTAACTGATACACGGGCTCACTCCACGGGCCTCCAGCAGAATGGCGGCTCCAGTGGCCCAGGATCACAGCTGGCTGGCCAGGCAGGCCTCTGTCCCCCAACGGAGGCGGGCACAGAGCAAGGCTCAGGACCCCCAGGCCCCCCAGGCCCTCCAGGACAAGGGAGCGTCTACCCCGGCCTTCTTACCACTGTGGTCCAGCTGGGGATGAGCCTGACCGAGTTCTTCACCTCCTCCTCTGTCACCTCCACCACACTGCAGTGCTCCTCCTCCGAGGGAAGGGGCTCCTCCCCATTCTTGGTCACCCAAGGGTGCAACTGTCGGGACCGAGAGGGCAGGGAGAGGGGGAGAGGTCAGGCCATAGGTAGACACTCAGTCAGCAAAGGACTCCAAGCCTTTACCAGAATCACCAGGAGGGGTCCAAAGTCCACAGACCCAAACCCAGCACACATGCAGCCTGGTGTCAGTCTTTCCAGAAAGGGAAACTGACGCCTGTTTTCTGTGTCCCAGCCCAGCCCAAGACCTCCAGTTCCCCGACCTTGATGTCTGGCACCCCAATTCTCGTCTCGGGATTCTTGTCTAGCATCTTCAGGATTAGGTCCTTGAGCTCCTCGCTGATCTCTGGCCTGGAGAGGGTGAAGGAAGGAGAGGAGGGTGGGATCGCTGATGAGGACCCCTTCCTGTCCACCTCTCCTCCCCACACCCTCGTCCCTCGGACGGGAAGACTGAGTTCCGGACAGCAGGAGGGAGCTTCCCAAGTGCTTGGAGAGCCTTTCCCGAGCAGGAGGAAAAGTCTCCCTCTGGGACAGAGGCACACACAGAGTTCCATGGGTGCTGGACACCCCACTGGGTGGCAAAGATGGTGAGGAGAGTCGTTTTATGGGACACCAGGGGCTTCGGTCCCACTCACCACCTCATCCTCTTCTACACCCAGAGGAGATCCTCTCTGACAGAGGAGGAAACTGAGGCCCAGGGAGGTTAGCAGGCTGGCACAGTGCCAGCCAGAAGAGTGCAGGCAGAGATGGGAGACTCAGATGGGCAGGAGCAGCCGCCCAGCACCACATCAGCCCCAACTCTCTCTGCTCAAACCCCAAGTTTCCTTGCCAGCAGTGGTCTTGGGGAGTCCATCCTTCCAAGACTGGGGACCAGAAAGCCACTCTCCGGACTGTTGACTTTGGTTCCCCCTGTTGTCTTAGATGCGTCATCCCTTTTAAAATCCCTGGGCTGGGGAGAAAGACATCGCTGGCAGGGGGTACAGCAGGATGAGAGGCACCAGGGGTACAACTGCGGAGGCCGGGAGGGAAGGCAATCACAGATGCGGAGGAAATGGACAGAGGCCTGCTGGCTGGTGCTCGGGAAAGGGAGTGAGGCGGCCCCAGACGAGCGGGTGGCAGAACCCGGAGATGCGTGAATGCCAGGGACAGGGCGCGGCTTTCAGAAGCCTCAGACAAACTTCAGGCCGGAGATGTGGGCAGATTTGTTGAGCTCTGTGTGTCAGGGCTGCCTCCACCCGACTGTGTTGGCTGGACTGGAGGGAGGCCAGCAGCAGTGAGACCAGAGGGAAGGTGGCCACACAAGTCTGGCGATGGGCCTGAGGCCTGAATGAGGCAAGGAACGCAGGTGGCAACAAGGCCCAGAGACAGGGAAGAAGAGGGCTCAACGGGGCTTGGGGACCACGTAGGAAATGAGCAGGAGACAGCAGGAGTTGCTAAGGACAAGTCCTATTTCAGTTTCTTCTCTTTTTTTTTTTTTTTTTTGAGACAGAGTCTTGCTCTGTTGCCCAGGCTCACTGCAACCTCCGCCTCCTGGGTTCAAGCAATTCTCGTGCTTCAGCCTCCCGGGTAGCTGGGACTACAGACGCGCCCTACCACGCCTGGCTAATTTTTTGTGTTTTCAGTAGAGATGGGGTTTCACCATGTTGGCCAGGCTGGTCTCGAACTCCTAACCTCAGGTGATCTGCCCGCCTCAGCCTCCCAAAGTGCTGGGATTACAGGTGTGAGCCACTGCACTCGGCCTCCATTTCACTTCAGGAAAGAGGAGCCAGGGAGCTCAGGCCGGCTGCCACGGTGGCCAAACCATCATGAGGCGAACTATGCTTGAGCAAGGTCTCCCCCACATCCTTGCTATGCTCAGAGACCTCAGACACAACGGGAGGAGTGGGGAGGAAGAGTGGCTCACTGAGTCCCAGCCCCCTGACAGCTCTCCTCCAGAGCGTCCTCTTTCCATCTGTGAAACGGGAGCACGCACTGGCATCTTGAAGCTCCCCGACCCTGAGTGGGGGAAGAAGTTCCCCTTGAGTTCAGGGGACAGGTGGGGCTGGCGCCACTGACCCCAGGCAGGCCTGCGGTGAAGGAGTCGTGTGAATGATGCCTGTGGTCATCCCTGGCCAACCCTGGATCTCAGGGCTCCCATCCGTACAGTGACGTCGTGGAGACCCTCAGCTCCAGAGTCCCACCCGTCCTTCTACTCAGGGTCCCTCCTGGGGAACAACACCGCCACCTTCCTATCTGCAGTCTGGGGTGGGGTCCTCAAAGGGCAAAAGCTCTGCTAAAACTCGGACACCAGGAGTGGGTGGTAGCCCCCTTGGTCCCCTGGGTGGGCAACTCACTCCTCAGGAAACACCACGGGCTCATTCTTGATCTTCCTGTGGAGGGCCAGGATGAAATCGTCGATGAATGGGCACTGCGGGGTGGAGAGGCAGACAGAGGATGTGGGCCCAGGGCCTTGACTCGTGCCAGGGGACCAGGCTCCCTCCCTTGGTGGGGCCAGGGGTGGGGGCAGCTCTGGGCTCCCATTAAATGAGAAGGGCCTCAACTCATTTGTTCAGGGCCTGGCACACTGCAAATGTTCAACAAATGTTGACTAAATGAATCAGTTGCTGAGGGAACGATGAGGCTGGGTGCACCCACTGCCATTACTGCCATCTGCGGCCAGGCCAGGCCAGGCTGGGTGCACCCACCACCATTACCACCACCTGCGGCCAGGCCTCCACTCCCAGGACCTAGACCTTGGGAACACGTTCACTGAAATTCCCTCCTGTGCCTTAGTGCAGTCACTAGAGCAGGAGCACCTGCAGGCAGGGATCTCGGTCACGTCAGCATCGGGTGTCCCCAGGGTCCAGCCTCAGCCAGGGTAGGGGTGAAGGACAATTTGTCGAATGAATGAGCAAGGGACTGAACACGTGGCTCAATAAGCGAATGGCGTCAAGGGACAGAGGGACGGGGAGCCCTCTGGCTGGGGCGGTGGCGACACCACCACCGGCACCTCCCCTTCCTTGGGTGTCTGCTGTCCTGCGACTCCTTCGCGAGAAGCACTCCGCAGGAGACCAGAGGAAGACAGAAAAAGCCCCTTCTCTCTCAGCCTTCTCTGAGCCAGGTGGGCTCTTTCAAAAGCCACTTTACTTAAGGACAGAAAGGAAGAGCCTGCATCCGTTGCCCGTGCCCGCCTCACTGGACCTGCCCCAGCTCTGCTGGCATCCCCGGCACTCACCTTCCCATAGACAAAGCAGTACAACGTGACGCCGGTGGCCCACACATCCAAGGCCTGGAAAGAAACATGCTCACATCAGTCCCCCACAGGCACAGCCACCTCTGCCCACCCAGCTCCAGTGGGCTGCAGGAGAGGCCTGCAAGGAACCTCTTCCCTCTGTCATGTACTCACTCGACAAACACTCCCCAGTGCTTGCTCGATGCTGGGCCCCATGCTGAGTGCTGAGGACACAGGGGCGGCCAGAACAAGGCCTCCACCCTCCAGGGGTTCTGAGTCTCCTTGGGACAGGCTCTAACCAGGAATGTTTCCAACTCAACGGGTACAAAACCACCTTCATCCACAGGGTCACACGGGCCACTCGCATGTCACAGACGCACCCCAGGAATGATAGTATATATGGAACTTCTGCTCACTAAACCAGCTCGGGGTTCAAGGAGTCATCTCTTCTCCTCACAATCCACCTTCTTCCTGATACTGCAAGCAGCTCCTGCCCACACAGAGGCCCTGTCCACTCACGCCCTCATCCACTGCCACTGCAACAACTCCTCCGGGCTCCGAAGCACCGCTGGGCCTCCCCACGCCCTGGACAGGTGCTCTCTCTACCTTCGCCTGCTCCGGAACGCCACCACTTCTGGTATCCACTTTCTCGCTTACATGAATGATTCTCAGTCTCTACCTACATATTCCTGCCCCAGATGCATCATCTGAATCCAATCAGGGAACACCAGACAAATGCAAACTGACAACATCCTACAAAATAACAGGCTTGTTCTCTTCAAAAATGTCAAAACCGGCCGGGTGCGGTGGCTCACGCCTGTAATCCCAGCACTTTGGGAGGCCGAGGCGGGTGGATCATGAGGCAGGAGATCGGAGACCAATTTCGCTGGGGCTCTTTTAACATCGGGGAAACCCCGTCTGCTACTAAAAACACAAAAAATTGCTGGTGTGGTGGTGGGGCGTGCGGCCTTGGTAGTATTCCATCTTCACATGCTACTCAGGAGGCTGGTGAGCAGAGAACGGAATGAACCCGGGAGGCGGAGCTTTTTGGTTGTGTTTGCATTTGTAGTCGAGATCTGTCGTCCACTGTTTCACTTGTTTATGCCTGGTTGCCTTTAACAGAGCAAGACTTCGTCCTAAGAAAATATAAAGTTCAGTGCCGGCTCTGTGTCGCGGTTGGCTCCTAAGCTTCTGTAATTTCCCTGTCACTTGGTTTTTTAGTATAGATCGTGCGGTTCAGCTATTTTCCTTATGGATTTTATCAATTACTCATCTGTTATATCATCGGTGTAAATCCCCGTTCTTCTATCTATAATATATATATAATACTATAAATATTTATACTTAGCCTGCGTGTTGGTGTGGCGGTTATTCGTTCTGAGTCCCAGTTCTACTTCGGGTGGTAGGCTTAAGCGAGGAGAATGGGCGTTGAAACCGGTGAGGCGGAGTCTTGGCAGTGAGCGAGCTCCGGCCACATGGCACTTCCGATCGGTTCTGCGGGTGTGCGTGTGTCGCCCC